ATATTTTTATTTGAAACTTTAACAGTACATTCTTAATAAACAATACTATCGAAATATGTGAAAAAATCGATTTTTTCAACCTCACACATGAGACTACATCCTTAAATAATACTTTCACTAATTATTAAAAGAACAAATTTATTTATACAGTCCACTAAAAATTATAATCGAAGAAAAGGTTAAAGTAACATCAAATTTATTCAAAAAATATTAATCAAAAACACATCAAATTTACGCCTCTCAGTTATAACAAAGTTCCAAAGTTAAAATAAGATCAATCAATAACCTATCGCAACACTAGATAGCTGTGCTTTCTACTTGAGAATTCAATATCAATTAAATCAGTGGGTGGCAAAGATTCACTTATATTGACATTTAGCGTAAAATTGCATCATGGCTCCGAAGCGACGTTTAAGTCGTCAGCAAAGTTTAAGTGTACATGATGTCAATGATGGCAACGATCGTGCTAATTCATGACTCTCGCGTCTTGAAAGTGTTAAGGGTGACATAGACCGCATGGGAGAGTTTATGCAACAACAAATCGTATCCATTCGAGGCAGCGAATTAGAGTGCAGATTAGACATTTTAAACAATTACATAAATCGTGCATTTAACCAAAGATTATGCAGTACATAGATGGGACATCTCATACAAAGAAAAATTTTCTATGGCGGGTTCCAGCAGTGGAACCCGCTGGAACGAGCGGGTTCCATTGCGCGACAAGTTAAGTTTGAGAAATTTTTCGCGCGACAATGAATGAGGAATAGCCGAGTGGTAGAGTGCTTGGCTGGTGTGCAAAGTAAAACGAGTTCAAACCAGGCTCGGGAAGTGCATTTTTTTTTAATTTTAAATCTATTTATATTATTGTTTTATTATTTTAATGTGTTTTCCTAAATTTATAATCCAATAAAAAAAATACAAGATTGTAAAATAACCTTAACATCGTCTCAGTTCGTAGTGGAACCCGCTGTAAAAATGTCTATAAGTGCGGGTTCTACGGCATTTTGGTAGGCCGCGTCATGGAACCCGCTCTCAAATGTTTTAATATTTAAATTTAATTCATTTAAATGTAATTATGGAAACATTTGAGAGCGGGTTCCACGACAAACGGCTGGCAGATGAGATAGGGAGAGAGAGAATTCTATTTTTAGATCGTAACATCTTTGGAACGATGAAAGTTTGAAACGTTGTAATCGAACCAATGTAAGAGTAAAGAGATCAGAAATATCTTTTACTATCCTTACTCGTCAACTCTGTTTTTGGTATAGATTCTAGCGCCTCCTTTAACACCAATTTTAAGTATCATAAAATCAACTTCGAGGGTAGCCCAGATGAATAGTGCGTGGTCCTTATTCATGGGGTCCTGGGTTCGACTTCATTAGCGGGCGGTTGTTAATCGATTTTGGTAAAGTTATAGTTTTATGATTCTTTTTTTATATTTACTTTTATTTTTTTAATATTTTGTTTTTTTACTTTTAATTTTTACGTTATTATTATTATTTTTAATTGCATTCTAAAACAATTTAAGTAAAAATAAGTGACGGACGGGTCGGATGACAAAATGCCGGAAGGACTCCCTTGAAATTTTATTAGCCGGACATAATGAAGAATTAAACAATTTTACAATTGTAAAATTAAAGAAAAATATTACAATAAAAGAAAAAAAATAATAATAATTATAAAAGAAAGAAAAAGTTCAAAGTCCTTACGAGGATTTGAACACAGAAAAATTACACATAGAGTAACTACTCTATGCATTACGCTACCATCCTGTCTCGATCTGCCGCGATTAAAAATACTATTTGTTCTACCAACTACAACATCGGCGCATCGGAAACAGAAACGAGAAATTGAAATTGAAATTTGGAAGCCAAAACATTTTTACTCCGTCGTGCAAGCAGTCACACATACATACATATGTTCACATTTTTGTTGACGGATACATGTAAAGAGTTCTAAAAATAGAATCGTATACATGTGCGTTTCCCCCCTCACCAACAAGCTCGACGCAAAAAGTTGACCGTTTTGGGCCCTGATGTCCCATCTATGTACTTTATTATCTTTGATTTAACCTTTCGAAATTGAGTCCATTAATCCGGTATTGTCCTCGCGAGCTGAGCTTGAGGATAAGTGTGTAGCCACAAAATCTCTTTATATGTCAGCTAGTGTACAGAATCAAAGACCACCATTACTTAACTCGACCCTTAATACCACAAGATCCCACAATAAAAATTTACCTTGAATGAATTTACCCAAGTTTTCCGGGTGCTACTCAGAGTATAAGAACTTTATTGGTTTATTCACCAGTCTCATAGATAGCGATCCAACTTGTCCATCACCTGTTGTCATGTCTGGAGAAAGAAGCGTTGGGGACCGTGAAAGCATACCAAATAACTGAGACCAATTACCCAAAGGCACTGGCCGCTTTAAATCGGGTGTACGACAATCAGTGTTTAATTTTTTTTTATTGTATTTCCCATCAATGCGACATTCCCTCAATGCAGGGTCCGTCCGCCTTTTCACTGCGTCACATGATAGATACTGTCACAGCTATCTACGAATCCTTGCTTTCACTAGGCAGTGACAAAGTAATAGCAAATGCAATGCTCATACACATCGTCATGACCAAAGTGGACGCAAAAACTAAGTCTAAATGGGAAGAAAGTTTAGACTTTCAAAACATCCCAGTTTGGCAGGACTGCCAACATGCACTCAATAAACGCTACCAACATTTAGCAGCAGATTAAGCTACGTCAAGCACGCAAAAGTTTCGCAAGCTAGGGCAGTCACATTATTTAAAGACCTTTAATAAAACTTCCTTGTCCGTTGCCAATACCACTCGAACCCAGGATCTAAAATGCTATTATTGCAAAGCTGTGGATCACTACATTCACGCGTGCAGTTCGTTTGTGACCGCAACAGTCGCTACACGATTCAAATTCGCTAAGACCTTCCCATTGTGCATAAACTGCCTAAGAAAAGGGCATTCCGTTCTTTCGTGTAAATCCTCTAAGTGCCGCGTGTGTTCGAGACACAAACCTTCTTGGAATAGGTCAATCAGCTGTATCAGCTCGCCATGTACTTCAAGCAACTATACACTCCCAAACACAGGCATTTCAATTGGAAGCTGAACTTTTTTTTCTGATGTCAATATCATTGTCCCAACCAGAGAGGGCAGTTCAAGTGTTAGACTGGAACATCCCTGACAACATAAAGATAGCTAATCCACTGTTCCACAAACCTCAGAGAATTGACATATTGCTTGGTGCTGACGCATTTTTCGAGTTGACATACCGGCAACCGAATCCTTCGACTTTTCCAGCAAAGGAATATGAAGAAGTTTACTTTGCAACTGCATCATTTTTCAAAAGCAAAATTTTCACTTCACAGCATGGTTTTGTCAACCCTCGCTCTACAATAACCAACCTTCTTGTATTCACTTTGATCATCCACAGGGTTTTCTGAGTCGCATGCCAACTGATGAGCTCAACAATGATTTCAGATAAAACAAAATGTAATTAAAAAAAAAACACGTTCATGATAAACATTTATATTAATTTCATCAATTTAAAAGAAATTTACTCCATTAAGTAAACGCTGGATGAAAAAAAAAACTAAAAAGTATTAGTTTCTGCCTGTCCGGAAATCTTTGTCCGCTACTGTAGCGTTCGTTTCTGTGTATCAACGTCTTTTTTATAAGCTGTATATACATACATAAGCATAAGCTATACATAAAATGTATTTTGCATATATGTATGTAAGTATTTATCTGTATGTATACAGATATATTATAAAGTACTTTATAATCTTTGGTTTAATTTTTATTGGTCTCTTCTTACTCACACTTGCTATAAATTAAAATACTCTCTTCAAGGGTATAACCGTAAATACCATGGGGTACCAAAGCCGTGGTGGGTTCTAGTTACGAAATAAAATAATCAGTGCTTCAACCCGCAAGTAGAAGCATTCCTGGCAAACCCAATGAATTAAAAACTTGATTGGATAATTCACAGTTGCGTTGGTATACAAGCTGCATCAATAGATTTGTATGACACCATCCGCAGACAACGCCTACGTCTATCAACTATCTACGCATTTATCCTCGTTGTAGTTGCCTGTTTGATTAAGTTCACCTCGTGCTCCTTCCGATTGTGATTGACGTAACTATACCATGCTCACATGCGCACTTTCGATTTTTTTATTTTTTCTTCGATTTTTTTGCATGATTTCATACTTTTCTAACTCGTACTGTTTGTAGAAGTAAATAACTAGCGACTATGCCCATCGAAACAACAATTGACAATAGTGATCAGTTTTAATTTAATATTTAATCTGTTAAAGTAATATTTAAAATTATTTATTTCTAAGAAAGATAGACTAATAAGTAGGCAGGTAAATAACTTTTTTCTGACCAAAGACGCTACAGAAATTGGCGATTTGTGGGGGCGGTAGGTTGCGTGGTAATTTTGAAACAAACTTCCATGCTAAATCATATTGCTCTTATTCTTGTAGTCTCTTAGATCTACGCGTTTATACGGACAGACATATATCCTATATGGCTATATCGACAAAAATAAACACAATCCCTTCTCTATTTTACATACATTAACACGCCTACAATATACCCTTGTACTCTACGAGTACCGGGTATAAAAAGAGAAATACCTGGTGGTCGGCAGAGCTAGACCTGCAAGCGGCAACTTTTTCAACTGGGCAAAGGCCAGAAACAAGGAAATCCTCTAGACCTATTAGGCGTCCCTATAAAAAAATCTATACGAAAAGCGAAACGCTCCTCATGGAACTCTTTGGTACAAGTGACGAATCTCTAACTATGCGGCTGGACAAAGTATGGATGCTTTACAGAAATGGACTATAAAAGTAGAATAAATATCTTCATATAAACCATGTACATATACATATATCCAAATCCATGGGAATTTTTGTTAGTATTAGCATTATTTTAAATTTAGCTCATATTTTCATATTTTTTATTTTCTTACCATTATTTTTAAGATCTGGTAATAAGGGTGTTGGGCTGACGGAATGAAGGTGATCTGAAATAAAATCAATAAATAAGTTCTGGAAAAAGGAAAATTGGGGATATATATATACTAGCTTATATATAAAATATTCGTGTCACAGTTTTTGTGTCCATATTCCTCTGAAACGGCTATATCAATTCGTGCCGATAAGTAAGCCGCTTAATAGTTGCACTTTTCCTGGCGCGCAACATATCCCAGCTATTTAAAGAATGATTAAAAATTGATTAATATACGTTTCTCTACAACATTTTCTTAAATACCAATAACACAGCCACACAAAAAAAAATATTTTTTCGGGCCTGGAGGTCAGACCATGTTTACTATATGTTTTCGGGGTCGCTGAATCCAAATCCGAGGTCCACAAAACCCTAGCTTGTGAGAGTTCTGACATAACCTGAAAAAACCTTATACAAAATTATATTCGAGTCCGGGGTTCAGACCATGTTTATTATACGTTTTCGGTGTCGCTGAATCTGCTTCCGAGGTCTAAAAAACTCCAGAATGTCAGGGTTACGACATAACCTCAAAAACTTGATAAAATTAGAATTATAATACATAATTATAATTTTGCCCAAAAGTGTGCAACAGTGAGGAGACATCTCCGACCCTATAAGGTATATATATTCTTAATCAGGATCACCTCATGAGTTGATATAAGCATGTCCGTCTATCCGTCTGTCTGTTTCTACGCAAACTTGTCTCTCAGTTTTGAAGCTATCGACTTGAAACTTTGCACACACCCTTCTTTCCTTTGCACGCAGTATATAAGTCGGAACGGCCGGGATCGGCCGACTATATCCCATAGCTGCCATTAAACTAATTCATCGGAAATGGTATAAATTTGGTGTTCTTAGAGTTAGAGAGTTCAAATTTTACACGAGAGCTACAAAATAATACGACATGCGAAATTTGATAAGGATCGGCCGACTATATCCTATAATGATCGGAAATCACCCAACTTTCGTGTTTTTGAAGATAGAAAGCTGGAACTTGGTACAGAATATATTTTTATATTTTTATTTTTATAATATATTTATATAGAATATATCTTCAAAAACACGAAAGTTGGGTCATTTCCGATTGTTCATGGTTACCGGCTGACTTAACAGAGATTCAACACTTACTTAAACACTCGGTTCTATATTTTCGGCGTTGACAGCGTATTTATCGCAACACTCCCCACTTGTATATTCTGTCAGAGATCTACCAATTGACCTTCGATCGGACTGCCGACTTCGTCGCGGGCCTTGTACACACGCCAGATTGGGTCCTAACCGCGGCGCTCCTCACTTGTCCGTCCGGGCTTGGAATCACACACATACACGATATCCCCTTCTGCAAGAGGCTTACTCTTCTCGCACCATTTGGCTGGTATTCTTGAAGCCATTGCTTCCTGAACGAGTCTGCTAGTTGATAAAATTCCATCTAGCTCTTCTTGAGCTGTACTTCTTTTGCAAACTTCCAAGCAGGAAATGATTTGGTGTCTTCATTTTCGTCTTCCACTGGAATGTAAGTAAAAGGTCACGAGATGACGATCGCCTCCGCCTCCATCAAGACGGCTCCCAGCAATACAATCGATGGTCTTTTGTCCAGGAAGATTGATCCCGACATCTTCTTTACGGTACGCACTTCGCTTTTCCATGCCCAACCCATGTAAAAATATGCGGAATAGAATAACCTTAGATGTCATCTGGGGTCCAGTGAACTCGCGGGAGAAAAGAAACTTTTAAGTAGACGCCTTACGCCTACCCGTTGTCGCTCCAGTGTTTAACTGGGCACTCTCAAATGGTCATATTGGCCGCACTGCAATCATACAAAAGTCAGTGGTTAAAGAATACGCTACTTCGTGATTTCCTTGTAGAGAAGCAGGTGAAAAGCACGCCATATCGATTCTCTGAATTGCGTCTGACCCGCACCATCAAAAGCCCAAAGTTGTCCACTCCCGTTAAGCTTAAGGGTCTATGAAAGGCTGCTACTCTCGGATAAAACAGTTCAGCCATGCGTGCCGGTTTGGGGCTGCCCGTGGGTTTTTGTATCGTTAACAGGATCGTCGTATCCAAGCAAAGGTGGACCATCGCTTTGGTATTCAAAATGTTTTTCGTAATTTGTTGGTGGTTGATGGATATATGGTGGCGAATAAGATCTTCCTTCCTCTCCCACCACATTTCCAGCAGCTTATCGGTCTGTCTATCCGTTGCTTCATCTAGTCTCACTAACGTGGTTTCTCCTTCGCCGAGCGAGCTTAGTACCTGGAGTTCGATACCTAGTTTCGAATGAGGAATCCGCCCTGCAGACGAATGTAGTGGACGCGACGCGCAAAACGAATGGCTTTTTGCTCCGTGCTGATGCTGTCCAGCATGTCGTCTGCATAGTGACTCTCCAGGATGCACTTTACAGCGCGTTTGTACTGCATTTTGAACGACTCTGCATTTTTGTCTGCAGGAATAATGGACGCGACGTCCAGCGCGTTTGTACTGCATTTACAGGTTCTCCACGTACAGGGCACAGCTGGGAGAGCAAATATCCCCAAATGTCATTACCTCCATGTCTGTCTCCGTTGTGTGTATTGGTCTATAAATACAAATCGTTGGTACATCTGATCTTCTGCTAAGTATTGGTACCAACTGCGCTAGTAGTCAGGTCCCTTTTACAATCCCTTTAGTCTTCGCGGCCGCATCCCAAACTATGCAAACTTTTACGGATTAACGTCCAGCACGGGAAAAATGGATAAATATCAATATGGGTTTTCCTCAGCTTCTTCCGTCGTTGTTTAATAGTCCTTCTTCACGTACTAATCTAGCTTTTGGCGAATTTTCTTTGCCAGCTTCGGCTTGCGAGTCAATTTTTGGTACAAGCATTGTTCGTAAGCTATTCGGACATACCAACATCGGAGATTCTTAGTCCGACCTAGGTAGTCGGAACTTCCTAGGTATTCCTAGTCCGACCGAGGTATCCTAATACCGGTGCATTCCGGCAATTCACTGCATACATTGATGCTGTGGTTGTCCGTTCACTCTAAGGACTTCTAACAATGAAGCGTCGATCAAGGTTAGAGATGATCTGTCAATGAACGCATACGTGTTGAGTTGTCTAACATTCGATGCAACAGGGAATGATGACGTTCTAGGCAGCCATCCGTAAGGATTGGGAACGGCGCATCTTTCCACCATGTGGCTCTAAAAACATCTTCACCATAGGCCACAACGTCTAGAAGCATTTCCGCAATCACGGATGGTCATAACCGGGGGATCCCAGCGTGGACTCTCTGCGTACTGCCGTTTCCTTTCACAAAGGCAATTTCACCAATTGTATCCGTACCAGCATTCTGGTACCGCGAAATGGATGCTCCAGGGATCTTCTCTGCGAGGCCAGTCTCTGCCCTCTTCTGGTCGCCATATGAGTAACTCTGGTAGTTGTCCCCAGCCGCCAGGCTGGTCAGTCGCAGTCGGCGCCGATACAGCCAACTATAACTTCGAACCATATCGCCGTATACCGTATTGAGTAGGCATCTCCATGTTGATTTCGCGTTCTGATACAAGTATTCTTCAAGAATACACCAGAAAAGAATGTAAAGAAATGTTGCGATTCCTTGAAGTTTGTAGCGCCGTCCCAGTAAAGACGCCCGTGCAGATGCTATTGATCTTTTATTTGTTTAGTCGCTCATAAAAGACAAGAGCCGGTAAAGGCAAGGTCAGCAAGGGTCTTATAAAGTCGATAAGCACTGTAAAACTTTAAATTCCTAGGAATAAAATAATCGTACAATTCCTCATTCCTCACAATGAAATCAACATTCGATTATGAATCAACGGGCAGGCCGGGATCGGCTGACTATATTCTAAAGCTGTCATATAACTGATTGTTCGGAAATGGTATAAAATTGGTGTTTTTAGAATTAGAGAGTTCGGATTATAAATGCTATATTATACAATAATGTGACAAGCCGAATTTCATAGGGATCGGACGACTATATCCTATTTGTTCGGAAATGGTAAAAATACCAACTTTGTTAGATAGAATCTGGCAACTTTTTACTAGATTTTGTATTGTAAAAAATTGGTTTTATTATGATATTCTATACTATATATACTATATCCGATGTTTGCGATATATATGCGGTTTCAACTGCAAGGGTATATCAACTTCGCTCCACTAAGATTGTTAGAAAAGATGAAAGTGTGATGATGAACGACCGCCTTTTGAGAATCCGACCAGTTGAGTAGAATCAATTTAAATTGTGAGCACCAAAGCGGGTGTGAGTAAAATAGGCCGTGCCAGTCAAAAAGAGACCGAAGAAAGTTTCTAATCAAGACACTCTAATGCAAGGTGAGAGATAGGTGAAAGACAAAACCAACTCTCCCACATTTACCATATTTGGTTATTGTATGTATTAGGTGCGCAACTAAGTTCCCGCTGTTTGTCGATAGATCGCTGCAGCAGTTAGTGGAGATCAATTTTGATATATCGAAGACGGGATAAGCATAACCTTTACATTTGAATAAGAAACGGCGTTTTCATATAAGTGACTTTGTTTATGTTTCATGTACTTTTGGTTGTGCGAATATGTCCGATTTTGTGCCAAATAATCGTCATTTGCGGGATGTATTGATTTTCTTCTTTCATTCAAAGAAATTGGCAGCTGAAGCACATCGAGAACTCCGAAAAGTTTACGGAGGTGTTTCCCCAAATGAAACAATTGGGGATTGGCCGTGATTGGTTTTGTCGCTTCCAAGACGGCGATTTCGATATTAACGACCGTCTGCGTGAAGGAAGGCCAAAAACATTTTAAGACTGTGAATTGGAGACGTTACTCGATAAGGATCCATGTCAATCGCAAGAAGACATTGCTTCAGCATGCTTCAGATTCAGAAAGAATTTTATTAAAAAAAATAACGAGAACTTAGTTTCGCACCTATTAAAATGCACAGATTTAATGCGGTATTGATGAACAACATATTGGGGGCTACATTACCCGTACTCCAGTATAAAATTAAAGAAAGATATTAATATCAGGT